TATATTTTATAATTTATATTATATGCTATTATATTATATTATATCATATTATATTATATTTAACATGGTAATATTATTATTACAAATTTAAATTATTGGGTTATATTATATTTAAAAATAAATTCCAAAATGTTATATTTTAATTAAGGATAAAAGATTTTATTTTTATTTCATTAAAATATTTAAATTATATTATATTACATTTTAAAATTATTTATTATTAGGAATACAAATTTTAATATTTTATTAATTTATATTATATGCTATTATATTATATTATATTACATTATATTATATTATATTATATTATAGTTTCCCAGTGATGGGTTGCAGCTGGAAGGGCATCCGCTGCGTAACAATGAGCTGGATAAGTTGGCGGTTCGTTCCACTGTGGCGACCCCAGATTAATAAAGGGACTAAGCCGAACAGCAAATAAATGAATGAATATTATATCATATTAAAAAAGCCATTATTGTTAATGATTATATTATATAATATTACACAGTCAAATATGAATACCGCCTAGAACTAGAGTAAACATCCAGAACAATCCACCTTTGTTGCCTTTTCCAGCGTCATTCTGGTTTCCTGATGTTAAGGCTTCAATTCATCATTTCAGTGGATTAATGTCAATAATTGTCCCTGCCTTCAAACCAAACACACACACACACACACACACCGTACACACCGCCGCTTGTTCATCAAACACAATGATTTTCACAATCCACAGCCATTGTTTTGACACAACACCAGAACAAGAATGTTTCATCACAATGCACAATGCACTGAGATGTTTAATTATCAAACACGATCATAATCCTGTATTTCAACATAGCTCGACGGAGTTTATTACAAGTCACAATTCTTGATGTTATAAAATCAGCAGTTTTTTTTTTAATATAGGCTCATTTCACAGCATTAAACTGTTAAATTTTTCATTTTTTGAATTCATTTGGCTGATTTCAGGGTCTGTCAAGAGCATTATTAGCTTAGCTTAGCATAGATCATTAAATCAGATTAGACCGTTAGCATCTCACTCAAAAAATGGCCAAAGAGTTTTGATAATTTTCCTATTTAAAGTTTTACTGTTCAAAGACTGACCGAAAATGAAAGGTTGCTCTTTTATAGGCTGATATGACAAAGGAACTATACTCTCATGCTGGTGTAATATTCTAGGAGCTTTGCTGAGATGTTAAACTATTAAACTTAATTGTTATCCTCAGGCTTTTCTGTATTACAAGAGAGTTTGATTGAGGTTTTGTAAAGTCGCAATTCTTAATGTCATTAAATCAGCTCTTAAAGAAACACTCTAACATTACAACTCCCCCAGAGTTAAAGAGTTGAGTTTTACCATATTTTAATCCATTCAGCTGATCTCCAGGTCTGACCGGAGCACTATTAGCTTAGCTTAGCATAGATCATTGAATCGGATTAGACCGTTAGCATCTCACTCAAAAAATGGCCTCATTTTCTTATTTAAAGCTTCACTCTGTTAAAACACTGACAGAAAATGAAAGGTTGCTCTTTTATAGGCTGATATGACTAGGAAGTATACTCTCATGCTGGAGTAGTTATTTAGGAGCTTTGCTGAGATGTTACATTACTTAAACTTAATCGTAATCCAGTTTTTATCCAGTCTGATTATAAAAAATACATTTTATTAAT